CGATTGTCCGATCTTTTGCCCTCGACAATGCATACGTGGCTGTTTATAACCCACAGTGTCGTTTTGGCAACGCATAGTTTTAAATCGACAATTTGTGGTTTGCTCGACGTGCATCGTTACAGGTAATCGCATATCAAGGTGGAACTCCGAGGAATGTAGTATGACGCGTCCTTGTAAGAAAAGACAGAAATGACGTCATTCCTGTTTTTCCGTCACGACGAGACTGCACCTTGACGTGGTGTGGCTGGTGCACCTCCCTGACCCAACGAGCTACACAGGATGGCTGTTGTCAAGCCAAGAGATCTTATCATTCCTGGAGGGTCAATGGGTAGAGGTCAGACGAAGTTCAGTCTCCTGGTTCTCCAGGTTGGGGGTCCGACTGCTATTCGCGTCTCAGTCGGTAAAAACGGTGGAGGAGTAATCGATCCAAGTAAATTGGCCTCCAGGTCGCTTCACCCGCTGCCTTACGGTCAGGTTCTTGTTAAAACTAAAGGCTTTGGACGAAAACCCTAATCGTTCTCCTGCTTAGTGGCTGGACACTCTAGCAGTACCTGTCCATCAAACTCAAATGCATACGCAAACAAAAAATAATTCCATACTGCATCGGTCGTCGCGCAGGATAATCAAGATCGCGCTGCCCATTGCGTCGAGCGTGGTGGGTAGTGGTAAGTGGGCTACTGCTCAAATACCCCAACCTTTGTTGAAATCTTTGTCTTCCGTTTCTAACCCTCTCCCTTTACTCCCTCTTCCGACCTGTAATAGTCCCTCAAGCAACTTGGATGTCGCTCGCCAAGGGTAGTTGCCAAATAGCGCTGTAAGTAATTTACCACGAAATGGATTGCAGATTCTGAAGCTTCATTAATCCCTGAATCTGAGGACTTTCAACCTGAGGACTCTGATGCAGATAGGTCAATAAGCTTGTCTGGCGCGCACAATGGAATCCTTAGGGATCAATTTTTGCTGCGTGTCGGAGACTCCAATTCAGGATCCTACTACTGTAAGCCACTTGAGTGTGCCAGATTTTTCCTACTTTCTTCGCATATCAGGCGACGATGAAGCCCGCTCAGTAGGTGAGCGCGGGGTAGGTATTATACTCAGTAACAGGGCTGAGCCCTCTCTTATCGAGTGGATCCCCGTCAACAGTCATGTTTGTGCAGTGCGTCTCTAGGGTTCAGTCAGCGTCCGGAAGGGAAGACATACCAAAAAGTGTTTCTTCATCGTATCGGCATATCCACCGACCAGTTGCAGTTCTGATACACAAAAGGACGCTTTCTACGATGAACTCACCGATCTCATTCGGATGAGTTGAAGCTCCAGCATAGTTGTACTGGCAGGTGACTGGTTGGAAGGTTGGCAGGTTGGAAGACTGAGCGCATCAGAAGCTTGCTTAGGTGGTAGTTGTGTTCTGCCCTGCCAAAGAACAGATAACGGCGATTGACTGCTTCAGTTCTGAGCAGACCATCATCAGTTCTTATCCAGCACCAGCTTCGACACAGCTCTTGACGGACGGCAACGTGGTGCTCCAGTTCAACTGGTACGCTAACTCAAATGGACCACATAGCAGTAGGTTATCGTTGGCGTGGCTCAGTGCAAAATTGCAGGTCCCATTGGAATACATTCGTTGAGTCTGACCACGCATTAGTTTTGATGCAATTCACTGGCCGGCGACGAATTCAGCAAACTCGTACAGCTCATCATCGACTGTCCGTTCCAGCCGTTCGTGCACGCTCTGAATCAGAGCTGGTGCGTGAGCTGAGCGTATCTCAATGTGATGATGTAGATGAGCAGTGGGATCAGATTAGGCGAGCAATGCATTCCGCTGCGAATGTTGCTTGTGAGTCTGAGTCCCAAGCCCGTCGGAGACATTTGATATCCCAGGAGTCAGTAGCTCTGAGGAATAAAAAACGACAAATCCCAAACTGCCAGGATCAAACCAGAGTTAGGTGGCATTTACATCGCCAGCCTACGAAAAGCCTTAAGGAAGATCGCGCAAACTATTGGACAACAATAGCTGGTGAAAAGGAAGTAGCAGCCGCATCAGGGAATAGTCAAAGACTGTTCCGACTGATACGCAATACCGGAAGTCGGTGAACCCCAGTTAGTGAAACAGTCAGCGATAAGAGTGAACAAGCTATTTACAATAAGGATGAACGACTTGATCGCTGGACAGAATACTTCAGCGAACAGTTCAACTGGCGTGCACTATACAGGTCACTCTGTTAGCAGCTGAAGCTCCGTGGGCAGTGTCGTGCGATTCTCTAACAGAAGCAGTTGTTCGGTCCTGCATTTAAGCTCTGAAGCGAGGAGAGGCAGCAGGACC